CACATGGCCAAAAAAAAAAACCCCAGAGAAATAGAGATACTTAAAAAAAAAAAAAAAAAAGAATATGAAAAGACAACCCATAGAATGAAGGGGTATATTTGTAAATCATATATCTGAATTGTTTCAGGGCTTATGTCCAGAAATATAAAGAAATCTTACAACTCAATAACTTAAAAACATTTTTTTAAATGGGCAAAGGATCTGAATAGACATTTCTCCCAAGAAGATGTACAAATGACCAATAAGTACATGAAAAGATTCTCAACATTATTAGTCTTTAGGGAAATGCAAATCAAAACCACAATGAGATACCACTTCACACTCACTAAAATGGCTAGAATCAAACAGTGAGATAATAACAAGTGTTGGAAAATCTGTGGAGAAATTGGAACCTGGATACACGCTGGTGTGAATGTAAATGGTGCAGCTGCTGTGGAAAATAGTCTGGCTGTTTCTCAAATGATTAAACATAGAAGTTACCACATGATCCAGGAAATCCACTCTTAGGTATATAAGTAAGGGAAACGAAAACATATTCTACACAAAACTGTACGTGAATGTTTATAGCAGCATTATTCATAATAGCCAAAGGCAGAAACAACCCAAATTTCCACCAATGGACAAACAGATCAACAAAATGTTGTAAACCTACATATTGGAATATTATTTAACTATAGAAAGGAATGAAAGACTGATACATCTACAACATGAATGAACTTTGAAAACACTATGATAAGTGAAAGAAGTTAGTCACAAAAGACCCTATATTATTTGATTCTATTTATATGAAATGTTCAGAACAGGGAAATCTATAGAGATAGAAAGTAGATTAGTGATTGCTTAGGCCTGGGAGTGGGAGATAGGGCGACAGGGGTCTGATAGCTAAAGGGCGTAAGATTTCTTTTTGAGGTGATGAAAATGTTCTAAAATTGACTGTGGTGATGTTTGTACATATCTGTGAACATAACAAAAAAACAGTAAATTGTATACATTAAACGGGTAAATTGTTTGGTACGTGAATTATATCTCAATAAAGCTGTTTTTACCTTGCTTCACCCTAATCCCAGGTGTGCTCTGCATCTTTTCCCTCTTACACAAAGAAAACCACTTTTTATTTGTTGCTGTTGTATCCCCTGTCTCAGCAGAGGGTTTTTGTTGTTGTTTTTTTAAAATTCATTAATTTACTTATTTGGCCACACCAGGTCTTAGTTGCTGCACACGGGATCTTTGTTGCCACGTGCAGGATCTTTAGTTGTGGCATGCGGGCTCTAGTTCCCTGACCAGGGAACGAACCCAGGCCCCCTGCACTGGGAACGTGGAGTCTCAACCACGGGACCACCAGGGAAGTCCCTCAGTGGATATTTTAAGTAAGGGAGCTAAAAGTAGAAAGTTGCTTGCAAGATACTCATTTCCTTTCCTGACCTTTTTTTTTTTTTTTAAATACAGCATTCATTAGAGTTTACGACAAGCATCTTTGGGAACAACAAGAAGAGAAAATACGTCTCTTTTCAGAGTGATCATAAGCAAAATGATAGAATGACAGATTTCCTTAAATTTTAAAGTTTTAAAATAGGAAGGTGATGAGACCTGAGCTCTGCTTGGTGCAGCATTTCAAGGAACTGGCAGGATTTTAGAGGAGATGGCCATGTGCCTAGACAGAGGCTTTGGAGTTCATAGCCTCAGCCAACTTTGCTGGCCATACCTGAATGGTATGCAAGGAGAAAGCTGTCAGAGTTCCAGAGACCACTATGACCCTGGACAATACAGATGTTAGTAGAAACCTTGATGAACTAGAGCTATCTGCTCTCTTTCCCCAGTATCATTTAAAGCCTGGGCTGGAGATGAGAATCCCTGATATTGACGAAAATTTAATTTCTTGCTACCTTAACAGAATGAGAAGTTTGAGTATCTTAATTCAATTTTTTTTTTTTTTTTTTTTTTTTTGCGGTACGCGTGCCTCTCACTGTTGTGGCCTTTCCCGTTGCGGAGCACAGGCTCCGGACGCGCAGGCTCAGCGGCCATGGCTCACGGGCCCAGCCGCTTTGCGGCATGTGGGATCTTCCCGGACCAGGGCACGAACCCGCGTCCCCTGCATCGGCAGGTGGACTCTCAACCACTGCACCACCAGGGAAGCCCCTTAATTCAATTTTTAAAGACAATAAATAAAAGGTATATATTAGGATCAAGAGAGCTATTCTCTTTCATAACCGCAGTTAGGGTTGCCAGATTTAGCAAATAAAAATGCAGGACACCCTGGGCAAATTCCAACAGAAATGAAAGCTTCTGAGCTTCCCTGACTAGGAAAACTATTATACTCCCTCTTCTGGACATACTTAGATACCATTCTTGTATTTGATGAGTTCTGGGTCCTCTTGGTTACCCTTCAATTCCTAAGCAACAAGCTGGAGATGCTGGGCAGTTTCTGGTAACCAGTTTATGTCTGTCATGATCTTGCTGATAAAATTGAAGGCTGGTTGACTCTGGTATTGAATTAGGACTTGTATTTCTCCCATCTTTTATACTTGCCCTATATAGTTATATCTCTTGAAAGTTCTGTTGACTTAGTAGTGTTTCTCAGAATAGAAATAGAATTGTCTTATAAAAACCACTGCTTAATCAAATTTAATATGTATATAAATCATCACTGGATCTTGTTAAAATTCAGATTCTGATTCAGTAGATTGGAATGGGGCCTGAAATTTTATATTTCTAAATAAGCTCCCAGAGGATTAATAGACTGGTCCTCCTATCACACTTTGATTAGCCACCTATGTCACAATCAATAGATATCTGTTAAATATGTACGTACCTAGGCCCTATCCCCATCCCAATGCACTGATTCAGAATTTCTGGGGCAGTGTCCAGGAATATATATATATATATATATATATATATATATATATTTTTTTTTTTTTTTTGCGGTATGTGGGCCTCTCACTGTTGTGGCCTCTCCCGTTGCGGAGCACAGGCTCGGGACGCGCAGGCTCAGCAGCCATGGCTCACGGGCCTAGCCACTCCGCGGCATGTGGGATCTTCCCAGACTGGGGCACGAACCCGTGTCCCCTGCATCGGCAGGCGGACTCTCAACCACTGCGCCACCAGGGAAGCCCCCAGGGATATATATTTTAAACAAACTCCTAGGGAGACCAATGGTCTATGGGTTTAAAATGCCCTCTACCTTTTTCTCTAGTTATTAATTTTTTATCCTTCAAAGCTCATTGCTGGTCCCTTCTGTCATTTGTTGCTCTTATCGACTATCTCACACTCTAAATCCTTAACAGTTGTCTGCAACAAGCACTTGCTGTTTATCATGGGCTATCTTTTCTTGCATACATCCTGTCTGCCCAGACAGATTTTATTTCTTGAAATGAACAATTGCATACTTTCTTGTAGCCTCAGCCCCTGGCATAACACTTAGCATAGAGTGCATGTTTAATTAACGTTCATCGCAGACAATAATGCTGATGATAGTGAATGATGAATTTCTCTCCAGGACTCATGGCTATTTCCCAGGACTTGTGTGATTAAAACAACCCACTGACTCCATAAAGCAAACACCCAACTGATTAGCAAAAACTGTAATTCCCAACCACAGCACGTTATTTTTCAGGGATTGGTGCTACAATCCCTTTGTACCCTGGTAGCTGGGATTTTATTATGGTAAGTGGCATTTTTAAAGGAAAGAAAGTAATACTTTGAATTTATTATGTCTTTTATCTGTGAACCTCAAAGCATTTTAAAGCCATTCATTAAGTTACTGTAGCCAAGGTGTAAATATTATTACACTCTCCTTGCAAAAATGCTGACCAGAGAAAGAGTTACAAGATACTCGATCAAAATCATGGAGCCATTGTAAGGCTACACCAAGAAACTCAGGAGCAGCTGTGTCTGACAGGTAAGCACTTCTCAGCATCTTCCACACCTAAAGTCGTGTGACTTGAAAGGTGAGCATTCTTGTAGAAGAGAGGAGGCCAAAATAAGGAGAAATTTAAGACTATTTCAATAATCTTTCTTCTTCCTCTGTATTCCTACTGCCATTGATTTTTGCACTCTTATTCATTCTTACTTATGTTATGGTTAAATGCTGACACATCTTCTCTCTTTCACAACTTGATTTTTGTTTTTCCCCAGTCAGCTTGTTCTTCCAGCCTCCCAGTCCACTGTAGCAGCAGAGCAAAAAGAACTGCCATCTGAGATCTGAAATGAGGTTGGAACCCTTGTTCCATCACGAATTCCGCCTCTTTGAAAAAGTCGGTTCACTCAGAGGCAGTTTCCTCTTTGTGTGTAAAATGGGGATGGATCACGTCCATTTACTCTGTCACACGACGGTTGAAACGACAAAACGCGATTCGTAAACTGTAAAGCACTTAATGGGCATCAGCTGTCCCCTTACTGTATCAGTCCTTGTTTAATTTAATTGAAGCCCAGAGCCACAAACCGCAGCGAACCTAACACGGACAGGGCGTGTCTGTAGGGAACAGCCTAGAGGTAGATCTTTTTTCCTTTGAGAAAACGCAGGGCGCGGAGCTGCCGGGAGTTGTAGTCTTTGCGGCGGCCTCCACATACCTCGAGGAAAGAAAAGAACTACAACTCCCGTGACGCCGTGCGGGGACAGCCCCGCGCACCCTCCCGCCGGCGGGCGCCCCAAGACCAAACGGGAGGAGGCCTACGCGCGCGACGGAGATTCACAAAGCGAGCCGTGAGGCGGAGCGCGTTGTGGTGGCCGTAGCGGCTGATCCAGAAAATGAGACGCGTGGGAGTGTGTGGGGGTTGTAACAAGGATAAAACACGTGGAAAAAGGCAAATTAAAAAATAAAAAGGGCTGTGCCCCGATTCCTCACCACCCCGCGGGTCCTAACTTGCGCATTCCCGGCTCGCGCCTCCGGTCTCGGAAGCTTAAGTCAGCGGGGTTGGGAAGGGGCGGGGCCAGCGGCGCGGGGGGCGGGGCCTAGAGTGGCGAGTGCGGCGGCCGCGGCGGGGCCACGACCCAGACATCTAGGACTGTTGTTGTTCTCTCGCGGTGGGACCGCCTCAGTCTGGTCGCCGAGAGAGACCAGGAGCTGGTCTAGTTGGGAGCGGGGCGGCCGCGTCCCCCCTCTCTCCTGCTTCCCCAAAGCTGCGGCAGGAGCTGGCACAAACATCCTGCGGTTGGTCTCCGATGCCCTTCAGTGAGGAGGGGGCGTCGGGATCCTGGTGAGCGCACGTCAAGCCCCTCCAGCTACGTGTCTTTGCCGGCCCCCCAGGCCCGCACACCCAAGTCTGGCTGCCATGGCTGAAAACGCAGAGGGGGACCTGAACTCCAACCTACTCCACGCCCCCTATCACACCGGGGACCCTCAGCTAGACACGGCCATCGGGCAGTGGCTCCGTTGGGATAAGGTGGGTATCTGGTCAGCCCGGCATCCGCCCCCTATCACTCCGGGGACCCTCAGCTACACACGGCCATTGGGAGTGGCTCCCTTGGGATAAGGTGGGTACCTGGTCAGCCCGGCATCCGCCCCCTACCCAGTGTACGCCCTTTCCCGTCCCCACCCGGTGCTCGGCAGGCTGTGGGGGAGATGGCTCAGGCCATGCGGCAGCGGCTAGCGGAGCCGGGCGTTGCCACCCACCTATGCCTGGGCTGCCTCCCTGGGACCTTCTGAGCTGGGAAAGAATGCCTGTAGTCCCTTCCTTTTGCAGTGCGCGAAAGTGCAACCTCCCTTCCTCCCATCTCCCCCGCCTTCAAGTGTATGTCATCCCTCTTAATCCAAAAAAAAATAATAAATAATAATTATCATCGTAAGCTATACCCTTAATACAAATGTTTCCTTTCCTCTTTCTTCTCTCTTGACTTCCTTCTCTGCAAATCTGAAAGTGGTTTTTTGCTCTGTTCTTGGACGCTATGTAACCGCTATCCTCTTTAGTTCTGGTCTGGTGTGTTTCCACCTTGCGTCGCTAGGTAGTCGCTGGTCTTTAATCGCTCCCTTGTATTCTCTAATATCACCTTTTGCTCTTGAGAAAGATAAGCGTTCTCTTTCTTTTTCTGGCCGGGAGTTATTTTATGGAAGTATCCTATTCCAAAAATCATGTTTTCCAGATTTCATGTGATGCTCCTGATACAGAATTGTTTTTGCTTTACCCATTCCTCCTCTATTCCGCCCCCACCCCCTCCAAATTGTTGCGATGATTTCATCTTGTGCAGGCATATAGGATGGATATGTGAGAGCTAAAATTAAAATGCAGTTATTTCACTTGTAAGAGGCCCTTGGCTTCAACAGAGGAAGATAATCCAGGCTTTTGCTTTGTCGAATGCATTAAATGAATTTGTTGAAATAGAGAAGTCAACATATTTTAAATGGAATTAATAATACTGAATTAAAGTATTAGTGTGGTAATATGTGAAATCATGTTATTCAATTTCCTAAAGGATTATTAGCTTTCTTAAAAAGTTTTATTTTCACTTTGTTCAGTCATTCATGCATTGAGCAAAAAATATCCATTGAGCACTGGGTAGTGCTTCAGGGCCTTTTAGGTCCAGCGTATGCTGGTGGTGAGGAAGCTAGAAAGGGTTCCTGCCCTCGAAAAGCCTTCAGTCAGCAGATGAGGAAGACCAACAAATAAGCAATTATGAGTTATTTAGTATTACTTGATCATATGTATCTTGGACATTCTAATTCCTCCTCTGGAGTCTAGACAAGTGCGGCTCAAACTTTGCAGTGCTTACAGATCACCTGGAGATCTTAAAATGCAGGTTGTGATTTAGGACACCTGGGGTGGGGCCTGAGCTTCTGCCTCATAATGAGCTCCCAAGTGATACCAATGCTGCTGGGCTGTGGACCACACTTTGAGTAGCAAGGCTCTAGAGTGTTCTGACTGAGATACTAGAGAGCTAACACCCTTTTTGTAGGATTTGACCATATATATAAAAAATATGTTTGTATATACATATATATTTTTTTCAATCAAGTGTGAAAAATCTGTGGTATCCCATTAATTATCATAAGGATGTGCAAAATGCAAATAACTTTAAATCCATTAGGTTACCTGGTGAGCTTATGCCACCCAACCCAAAAGCTATGTGACAGCAGGAGCTGAATAGCAAATTATTAGGTAGTGGAAAAACAATGATTAAAACCTAAAGCTGGCCTCCTTACATCCATAATTATTTTTATTCGCATTTGGAAGTGAAACCACATTTTTCCCCTGCCTTTTTCATGCTCTCTTTTTCCTTTTGAGCTATTGATGTATTTTTGTATTTCATCTACTTATTAACAGTGTGGAAACTCAGTAAGAAAAGCTGAACTTTTTATTTATTAATTGCCTGCTGTGAATATAGTTCCTTGTTGTGAAAGGATACAAAAGAAGTGAAGATTCAGAGATTGCTCTCCTACTTTTGGTTCATTAGGGAGGAGGAAGCCTAATAGAAATAAAAGAGCTAAGGCTTAGCATACTGTGAAATGATATATACTACAAACTGCCTGTATAAATATCTTCAGCAGGGATATCTAACTAAATTACAAGTGAAAGTTATCCTTATATGTTTAATATAGTTAATTGCTGTTGTTTAAAGCCATCTGCTGTCAGTAAATGGATGTGGTTGCACTTGTGTCTCCCTAAAGTGATTTATGAACTTCAAAGACACTTGTAGAATTCCAACACAATTTAATTTACTAGTAACTATTATGTATGTCATAGCCTTTGGCCCTTCAACAATAGGAGTTTGTTTTTCATTGCCATGGGTGAAATCTTTTGTTCTCTTTAGGTGCCAGTTTTTTTTGTTTTTTTTGCGGTACGTGGGCCTCTCACTGTTGTGGCCTCTCCCGTTATGGAGCATAGGCTGCAGACGCGCAGGCTCAGTGGCCGTGGCTCACGGGCCCAGCCACTCCGTGGCATGTGGGATCTTCCCGGACCGGGGCACGAACCCGTGTCCCCTGCATCGGCAGGCAGACTCTCAACCACTGCGCCACCAGGGAAGCCCTAGGTGCCAGTTTTGACTACACTTTTCCTAATGGGTCTGTTGATTTGATTTTTTAAAAAATATTACCTGAATGAATTAATATTTGTTAATTGTCCATGCTGTACCTAGATATTGTTGGGGTATACTAAAATGTAAAAAGACTATGAAATACATATACATGTAAAAAGATAACTCAAGGGTGGTATTGGTGGCAATTAAATGGTGTATAGGCAGTCAGTTTTTATAGTAGTTTAAAAGTAAGTGACCTGTGGACTGGGTAGTCAAGGAAGACAATAAGAAGATGGGATGCATCTAAAAAGAATGAGGAGAGCCTTCACTGTAAGTGGAAGAGAAATTAATTTATATTTAAAGTGCCCTCTACATACAAGGCACTGGCTGAAAATCTGTGGGAGACACAAAGATGAACTAGATATGGATTGTCTCTTCAAAGAAAATAGAAGGGAAAATAAAACAAAAGCTCACATATATAATACAGGGAGCAAGTAACAAGTGCCTTTAACAGATAAATAGATTTAAATAAGTTTAATAATTATTTAATAAAAATAATATTTACTTAATTGATCCCTCCCTTAATGAGAAAAATACTTTTAATTAGTAAGCAAAGGTGTATCTACTGTAGATAGATAGTGTAGGTAAGCTAGGCTATGATGTCCCAGGGCACTGAAATGTAGAGTGTAGAAATGTAAAATAATAGATCAGACCAACAGCATTTATTGCATTACACGTGAATGGCATATGTGGTCTTCCAGCACAGAGAAACTGAGTTTAATACCTGATTAATACCTATTTATTTTTTTATAGTGAAAAAAAGAACCTACCAAATGCCCTGATTCTTGATGACTCTGGTGAGGCACATAGTACTAAGACGTAAGTTGATCTAAAGGCAATTGGCTACTTGCCTAGGTCACCAGTATTGCTAGTTTTAGCCTTGGTGTGTGGTGGTCTTTGAAATCTCTTCATGAAAAAGGTGTTATCTGTGCTGAACCTTCAGGATTAATTAAAATTTAGACTTGTCAACATTGAGAGGAGGAATATTCCAAGTAGAGATAAAAACATTAACGTGTATACTTAGAATATTTGTTTCTGCTGTAGTTTAGGGTACATAGAGAGAAATTGTTGGAAAGGCATGTAGACCAGGTCATAGAAACGCATTAGTATGTCGTTAGTGGCCTTGAATAAATAAAGGTGTATGTAAGTGTTAAAAAGAAATTAGTGCAACAAGACAGGGTGTTTATTGGGGAGGTCCCATGTACCCCTTCCTGTTTCTATTGAGTGGCATTCTGTTGTGCCGTTTAGTATAGTCCAGGATCTGACCCTTGGTTCCTATACCTTCAGACTAATTTGTTAGTCTGTCTTGTCTCAGGGTGGACTCACCCGGCTCAAGGTTACAGAAGCTGATGTCTGAATTCAGAATGCTGTTTTATTAATTTATGGTACAGTTGTAATATAAATAGATTTGTCTCAGTCAAGCCATTTTCTAGATGCACCATAAGGGAAGTCAAAGAATCAGAATATTTTTAGTGATTGTGAAATCAAATCACAGGGAGTCAGATATATGGCATAAATGTTTAACAGCATTAGCCTGTAATAAGTAAATGCATCAATCTCTGTGATGGGACTGTCCTACCACTGGAATCCAACAAGTCTGTGGATCAAGGTGTTCTTCCTCCAGGCAATGTGCAGATGACTCTTCTACAGTGCTCTCCCCTTCTATCTTTTAGAGCTGACTAAGGCCCCCAGTTCCTTCCTACTTCTTTCTTTCACAGCTTTCATACATTCTATCAAATTACAGACAAGTCTTGCTGGCCTAGACGCCAGGTTCTCTTTAACATGACAACTCTCTCCTGTTTTTGATATGCTGTAAATTTTAACTTTTCGAAAACAGTCGTATCAAAGATATTAAGCACTGGCCAAATTTGGGTGTGTGAATGTATGGGTGGGGAGTGGGATGGGACCCAGGGCAGAGCTGCTCAGCCAGATGTAGCAGCAACAGCTACATACATATTGAAAACAATATGGAGGCAGGAATTGGCTTGGCGTTTTGAGAAATAATGAGTAGAGTACTATGGTCTCAGAATGTAGGTCTATGTTGAGAAAGCGTAGAAGGTAAAGGTAAAGATAAGTTAGTTAGGTTAGGGTTATGAAATGCCTGAAAATAGAAATAAAAGACTTCATTCTAAAGTCAGTGATTTTCAAACATCTAGCAGTGAAAGTTTTTCAAGCAAAATATAGCCCAAATTGTTTTAAAAGTGGTGAATGAATTTCCTGTTAAATCATCATCATGTGATGGAAAACACACCCATGAAGCACCTCTACAAAGGTTGTCTAGTCCAGTTTCATTGTGCAGAGACCCAAAGAAGTTGTGGAAATTATCAGTTGTGGTGGGTAGAGCCTGGACCAGAACTTGGATCTGCCACCTAGT